TAAATTTTTGTTTTGATAAAGTCTTACAGTGTTATACAGTAATGTTTACTGATGACCACGTTTCGAGCACAATTTATTACTGCTCATAATCATATCAAGGTAATCACACGACTTCCTAAATTCATTTATATAGTTCCATTGTTTTTCACTTGATTTCAACTTGATTTGATTGGTAATAGTATTTTCCATATTTCAGGTATGAGTGACGAGTCATTCCTATTGAATGTGTTGTGTTGGGTGTAGACTCGATGAACCGGTCAGGATTCAGTGATCAACCTCTCTCTCCACCTACCTAGATTACTTTTTAGAATTTTAACCCTCTCCCACCCTATGTGTGGTTGTGTGTTAATGCATGCAGTGCAATGTAGTGCTGAGCTTTTTTCTAAATTACTTATCTTCTCGGGGTCAACCATTCTTACCTTAGCTAAATTCTTATGCTCTGACAATCTGACTACCCCTGACCTACTAGTTTGACCTATGTAGTTGACCTCACAGTCATTGCATGGTATTTTGTAAATAATAGTATTTTGTCTAATTGGGTCAACCGACAGGGTCCTTTAACCTACAGAGCTTTTCCTATCTGAGTGAGTTTGTAGGTTTAAATGCCACCCTAATTCCTATTTCATTCAGAATCCTACGTAGTGTCTCAGATGTCCCCTCTTTATATGGTATAACTGTGGATTGAGACAGCTTTATGAGGTCAGTTCATAACCTCTTAATGTATGCTTTTGGTATGCAACAATAATACTGATGAAGGGATCTCCATGGCTGAGTGACATGAGATATTTTAATGTAAAACCTGTCTTTTCATGGATAAAGTGGTTAGTGATTGGATACTTTTTCTTATTCCACACATTCTAGGCGGAACATGCAGCTTCAAGGCATATAAGTCCCGGTGGATGTGATATTTCTTTTCTTTCCGGGTGAGACTACTAACCTTCCCCCTTTTCCAGGCTTATTATATATCATTATTTTATTTTATTATTTTATTTTTATTTTGATGACTTAATTTTGTTTCTTCGCCTGTTCCTTAATTGCTTATAATTCTTGTATTCACTTAAATCTCTTACATAGTTTCGTATTATCTACTTTGTTTCTATGTGCATCCTGAGTAAAACTCACTCATCAAACTATTCATATTATTATTGCATAACTTCTTTTAACAACTGTTTGTGACAACTCATCACCTTTGTTACTACCCGAGCACTTAATGGTCTTGACTTATAGTTAAAATAACCTTAAGCAATTATAATTCTTGTATCCACTTAGATCTCTTACATAGTTTCGTATTATATATCACACAAAGTCTTAGTGATGTAGACGCTGTGATTCGAAATATAGCTGCGAACTTGGTTAGCCAGCACTATACCGTCGACGCGTGGCAGAAAGCTGAATACTATGAGTAACCAAAAAAGAATCAACACGCAGCTTCGTTATAATATACGTTTTTGTGGAGATTCTCAATAATTAAACACAATTATATGATAATTCCTTGATTATTAAAAGCATCACTTGTCATACTTATCAGTATTTAGGTGATAAAAAGATGTTTATCCATCCCATCAATCCTCCTATATGAGATGAGACAGAGAAATATTGTAGAACTTAAAAATTCAAAATACATCATCTTTCTATTTTAAATTGAGATTAGGTGTCCACTTATGTGATTGAAAGAAGCTCCAAGATGCAACTCGATCAGTTAACTCTAATACGTGCAAGTACTTAAAATGCCAAAACGAATTCTAAAACCATATTTACTGCCCAAAGAAAAAGAGCAAAGAAAACACTGACCTGAACACTTCAAAAGACTTCTAAATCGACCGCCACCTACAACGCATACAACAATACCAACAACGGAAGCAGAACTACCAGGGAACATCGACTCCCAGACGAAATCAGAAGTCCTGAATGCAATCAAGATGCTAAAAGCTGGGAGAGCACCAGGACCAGATGGAATCCCAGCAGAAGCATTGAAAATCGACCCAGAGACAACAGCGGACTTGATGACGCCATTGCTGGAGAAGGTGTGGAAAGAGGGCGAAGTACCTGAGGATTGGAAGGTAGGATACTTATTCAAACTACCAAAGAAGGGAGACTTAAGTCAATGCAAAGACTGGCCCAGAATTGTGCGCCTGTCCATTCCAAGCAAAATACTAAGCCGCATCATCCTGAAGAGAATCAAACAAGTCAACCTGGATGCAACAATCCGACCAGGACAGGCTGGATTCAGGAGAAACAAATCATGTATTGATCAAATCGCCACACTACGAATCATCATTGAGCAAAGCTTGGAATGGCAGTCATCTCTCTATCTCAACTTCGTCGACTTTGAAAAGGCCTTCGATAGTGCAGCGTCTATCGACATCTGATTTGGCAACTACTTCGCTACCATCGACAATTATACATCTCATCCAACAGTTATACGACAATGCTGCATGCCAAGTTATCCACAACGGGAAACTTACGGAATCCTTCGAAGTGAGGACGGGAGTAAGACAAGCTGGCTGCCTACTATCTCCAATGATTTTCCTGATTGCAGTAGACTGGATAATGCGACAAACAGCAGCGGGCAATGAGGAAACAGGAATAAAATGGAATCACACAAAAATAGAATTTGCAGGATCTGGACTTCACCGATGATATATGTCTGATTTCCTACAAACCGGAAGATATGCAAGTGAAAAGCAACAAGCTGGTGGAAGAAGCATCAAAGATAGGACTCCAAGTGAACCTAGATAAAACAGATGTGGTGATGAAGATTCCTAGCCGACACCAACAGCAACAGCCACAACAACAGACAACAATCAGCCAGCATAAATGGGAGGAACCTGAAAGAAACAACCTCCTTCACCTACCCACCTACCTTGGAAGCATCGTTTCAACTACAGGCCGATGGAACTGACGAGGATATCAAAGCCAGAATCGGAAAAGCAAGGCAGGCTTTCGTTACTCACAAGTCTGTGTGGAGGTCAACAGCACTCAGCATCAAAAATAAGATCCGGATTTTCAACTCCAACGTGAAGTCAGTCAGTGCTACTCACCATACGGATCAGAGACTTGCACTGCGCGTCATAAACAGCATCTCAAACAAACTTCAGACCTTCATCAACAGTTGTCTTTGCTCAATACTCAAGATCAGATGGCCGGCCAGAAATGATCAGCAACAGGGATCTCTGGCAATGAGCGAACCAACCAGGAACCGATTGTGAAACAAATAGGCAGGACGAAATGGAGATGGTTGGTTGGCCATACTCTGAGGAAACCATCAAGTGACATCACTAGACAAGCCATTGCTCGAGTGGAACCCGAAAGAGAAGCGGGTGGCGGATTGGTCGTCAGTGCAAGGGCGACTTCGAGGAGGTCATGTAAAGACGAGATGAAAGCATGTGGGAAGACTTGGAGTGGGGCGAAAACGTTGGCAGAAAACCGAAGGAAATGGAGACGCGCAGCTGAAGACCTATGTTCCTCTAGGAATTAAAAGATATAATAATAATTTACTGCCCTAACGGACGCTGACTTAAACCTAGGTGAAGAGTTTTTGTTTTTTACACCACATAATTCCTTCTTTTTGCTTCTTATGTATATCCAAATATCTATATACCAACAATCTGACCTTTTAGGAAATTACCTCACCTTTTACAATACTATGTAACTATACGGATTTGAAGTGAAAATACGAAACAAAGAGTAGTCTCCACTGACCTACGTCTTTTTGATCTATTTCAGCTGTTAAACATCTGTCACTAAACAATATCGGTTGGAGAGATCAGTGGAAACCAGGGAGCAATGGACAACTGTTTCGTCCCCTAGTTCAGGAATCTTCGACAGTGAATACGTACAACCCAACGACAGGGACATGGGACATTCAGGTTACGAGACCAAGCTGGTTGACTACCATTCACCCACTTCCGCTGGAATTCAACAGCCTGTGAATTCACATTCTTTCGATTTATGTCACATGTGTATTCTTCCATATCAGATAAGTGAAATATGAAAAGCACTTTCAAATGTAATGGCGAAGATTCATAGTTCAGGCAGATGATATTGAATTAGTTGTGTTCCGTGAGCTGGTTGAAGATTAAATTTCGTAGCTTTCGTAGTCCATCCAGACAACAAATTCAGGACAGGTTTTAGCGTCGAATGGACTTATTTGAATTCCCCATGACCGATGTGATTGTGTCTCCTGGCCACCACTGTTCAAATCTCAATTTGATCAATAGAGACAGAAACAACAACCATGAAGATGTCTCCCAGGAGATACAATTTCATCAATCATGGTGAATTTACATGACTCCAATCTACATTAAACGCTGTCCTGAAGTTGTTGTCTAGAAGGACGACGAAAGCTTCACAATTAAATCATCAACCAGATAAGAGAATGCAACTAATTCAATACTTTCAAATGTCTTCGTGCAAATTCTGAGTCTATTAATAATAAGACGGAATTATTTCAAGTAATCGAAGTGTATCAGACAGAAAATGGTGAAACCATATGGATTGCAGATAGACACCCGACATACTTCAGTGGTCTAACACAAAGTGGGAGAATAGAAAACGATCAACAGTTTGAGAGAAGACTATTGTAAAATGCCAAGGTAATTAATACAAGCACTAGAATCTATTTGTGTTTGTTCAACCGAGTGGAAAGTGGTTATATTCTCATCAGAAGCACTTCAGGAGAATTAAATAATCATTGAAAGCTGGAAATGTTTGTAAATTTTAATATTCTGATAAATTTTAACAGACTATTTAAGCATGAGTGACAGAACAATTAAACAGTGAACCTATTGTCATCAGACCACCATTTTTTCGATCACCTAGTCTAAACCGTAAGCATACTAAAATTTATTCACATTTAGTAAGTAATTGAGACGTATGTTGTGTAAGCCGTGTTGATGAAAAACTTAGATATTAAACTTTTCTCACTGAATACCAGGTTAAAAGTCACACTTGCCTAGGTTACAGCTTTAAAAGAGTTCATATACAATGTTTAAATTTACCGTGATGATAAATTTACTGGTAATGTAGCTCGTTTGAGAATCGCATCTTATAGAAACATCTTAGCTAATCAGAAATCGAATTCCAAGTGAACACATTCCACAATCAGTGTGTTATTCATTCGTGGAATTCACAATTTTCTTCTTATTCACAATTGTCAATTCACCTTCTACCAGCAATAAAAACTGCCAGTAGAACCAAGTATAATTCAGTAAATCCGAAGGATGTAAGCTATTAAAATTCAAGGAAAAAAAACTAATGTTTCAATAGACAACGCGTGCACTTCATCATATGCATCAACACTTTAAGAGTATAAGCATTAAAAAAGCTGTATATGGTAAGAGGAATTTTGTTTCTATGCGGATGCTGACTAAAACCTAGGCGAATAGTTCCGCAATAATTGGGCGCCGAGTGTGAAGTAGACAAATGCTAAAATTATGAATGTGTAAATCTCAGAGAAATAGGAATGGACAATTGTAACGTTTATTTTGGTTAACTGATCCGAACTTCAGGGAGGTAATTGAAATCAAAGTACCAAAGGTATATATATATATATAAACACATCGTGACAGTGTGTCAAGATTAAAAACTCCCGGTTTTTAGAACGCAGCACTTTAATTTATCCTAATTCTCCCATGACATAACGTGTGAACACTTGACAGTACTTTCATCAAAGCCATCAAAGAAATATCAGTGATCCTTTGAAGAACGTCTAAATCACTCATCTGACATTATTTACAAATAATAATAATAAAAAGTGTTAGATGGTTGAAGGCGATTGGCAGGGAGGCTTCGACCCAGATTTAAGTGCTAGTTGGCACTCGTCAGGGAGATGTATCTGCAACATTGAAAGAACTCATGTCCCTTTTGAGATTCGCACCCACGTCACCCAGTGCTGCAGTCGGAGACGTTACCACTGAGCTATTAGGGCTAGCAGTTTACCTCCTATAGGACTGCACTGGATACTTTGACGAGTGCTGACGCCGAAAATTCATTTCATAACTTCGCTTTGTTGGTGGACTTTATCTAAAATAATTCCTGTGCTAATCTTCATTATATGGTACAGAGATAAGTTTGCCTAATAAAGGGAATGCGCGAAAATACACGCATTCTACAATCTCTGCGTACCATCTGAAAACTATGAACTTCCTTATATCGATATTTAAGAAGTTTTAACGAAAATCCTACACTCATTTTTAAAATTGTTGTCATTACGAAATCTAAATACTGTAGGAAAATTTAATGACTATCAAAAAAATATGAAGTCCGACAAATGGTAATTGGTGATTTGAAGTACAAAAATCAAGCAGAATCTGAAGGGTAATCAGAACGAAAAATGAAGTGAGTTTTCGGATGAGGCGTTGGTCACTTTCGAAATTACCTCCTAAGCAGTTGCAATTTCAGTCTAAGAATAAAGTACAAATCTTGGTAACTGGATTATACTCACACTGTTGGATTATTTCATTTAATGCATCAACTTTATGTCTACTCATTCAAAAGAAAACAGTATGAAAACAGTCTGCAAGAAGCAAGTAAATTGATATTTCAGGGTAAAATGCTCGTCAACCGCTCACATGCTCTGAATTTGAATCCCAGTAGGCTCTCTCCTAATATTCGCTTAGACAATAGTAAGTTTAGAAAGGGGGGAAGCTTATGTATAAGGCTACCATCCCGAAAAAACAATGCCACCGTTACCTTAATAATGAAAGAGTGAACTCTTACGTTTCTACTTAGAACGCAAGATAATGAAAAATAGGTTTTATGTGAACAGCAACGAAATGCAAAATCTCCAAGTTGACTTCAGTTTACCAGTCGTTTGAATGATGAGTAGAACTCAAGATGAGTATAAAACTTAATAGGAGACTGTGCTGCCCACCACTCGCTAAGTGTGAAACGACTGTTAGTAGAAAGATGACTGGTTCGACAGAATACTTAACAGACGCAATGTTTGAAGTAGCACACAATAGGACAGGACAGAGTTAGAGTTTGATAATGTAATATAATTAGGTGAAGGCAGGTGCTGATTACCGGATTTTTGTTCGTCCAATATACACACCCAACACTTTCAGGAGAAACAGAAAATATTACTACAAATAATGTCAAAGGATAAAAAGTAGTGCAATCACATAAACAAAACTTAAAAGTTATGTGAGTGCCTTGATATGACTATGAGTAACCGACAGGATTCGACACTTCTTTAGTAAATAATGCTGTATTTCAAAAATATTTTCTAATGAAAGTGGCTTTTCACTCCTAACTCCAACAATGGCTACTCATATATTTTGATATGGTTGTGTTCTCTAAGCTGGATAGTTAATTTGCGAGGCTTTCATCGCCCTGCTAGGCGACATCTTCAGCGCATACTTCAATTTGAAGTGAGCTTTTAGATTTCTCTACGAGTTTATTAGTCATCTCTCCTGGTGACCGTGAACGTGATTGGTCGTTTTGATGTCTTTTTCACACCCTCTAGGCTACTTGTATTAGTATAATTATTGTTTTCTTGACCTGCAGTTTAGCCCTTTGTTTGTAAGGTTTCCTTCTTATTGATTGATAGATTTTATCTATCTCGATGTCTCTATTGATTGATGATTCACTGGAATATCAGGCTTCTAAAGGTTCTCCAGCATTATTGTTGTATGCCCTGTCTAATATTTGAACGTTGTCCCAGTCGAATTGATGTCCGTGATTGTCTGTATGCAGTGATATGAGGGAGTGAATGTCGTGTCTTTCGACGGCTAGTTTATGATCATGGATACGAAGACGAAGGGCAATTCTGCTTAGGCCAGTGTATTGTTTTTCGCAGTTGTTACAATTTATTTTGTAGATGATGTTGGTTTTGTCTTCTTTCGCTGTTGAGTCTTTTGGTTGACATAGAATTGAGTGAAGTGTGTACGACGTTAATTCCTAAAGGTTTGAAGAGTCCTGCAGTGATTTCTGAGATATCCTAGTCTAGTAGGGCGGTGAAAGCTTCGCAAATTAACTTCACAAAATCCAGCTCAGAGAACACAACCATATCAAAATCATCCATCTGAGCTACAAATCTTCTCTATCATAGCTACTCATACATACAATAAGCTAACCACCTATTGATGCAGTTATTCTCAAATATGCATATTACTATTTATAGAAATATATATATGTATATACAAACATAATAATAATATACTTACTGAAGACAATCTGTTCAGTTGTATGATCGTGAAAGTGCTCAATAAAACGTATCAATCAGACGACTTTGAAAAGTTTAGTGGTTTTACTAAAGCAACAATGAGCTTAATTAACAACATAAATATATATATATATATACACCCGAGTACTATTTATTTATATTGACTAACAGTTTCAAATAATAGTCTCTTATAGGTTGGTGCCGTCACTGTATTTATGGCATTTTGTCATTAAGGTGTGTGCGCTGATGTCCTCAAACTTATGTGATTACTGCTTTTCTTGTCTCTATTCTTATCATGTGACATATCTGTATATGTATATGTATATATATATATATATATATATATACGCATTTAAAATACGATGAGTATGATAAGCACTAGTACTCAGTGTGAACACAGCCTCGTTTCAAATTTTTTCAGTTAATAACTACTGACGCCCACATAAAGTCCACTTTGTTCACAAAACGTTTATTGATTACTCAAAATATATATGTATATATTAGGTGTCACATAGTCGATGAATAATCGCAAAACAAACAACATAAATCATAGATCATTTTAATAACTTTTCATGAAATGTTTTGAATAATAATAATAATAACAATAACAATAATAATTTGAAATACAAGCGTTGTTATGATAAGTTAGATGAAACGAATTCAAGAAACTCTTCAAAACTCAATTTGCCATTACCATCTCGATCATGTTCACGTATCCATTCATCTAGCACTGAACGTGATACTGTCATACCGGCTTCATCAAATAATTTTTGCATTTCATTAGCATCGATCTCGCCACTTCTGTCTTGATCAATTTGAATGAACAGTCGTCGCCATCTAAAGTTAGTTAATTAAAGAGAATCATGCAAAACAGACTGTCAATAGTAGTCGTAGTATACTTCCAGTAGTAACATGACTAGAAACTATGAGCAGAATCCACTTGACCTAAGGAATAAACTGGATAGAGGCTTGATTTCAGTAATTTCCAAACTCCCATTTACCTCTAGCGTGATCTACGAGTACGACTTCCATACTGGTTTGTTTATTTGATGTATCACACAATGAGTGAAACAGCATTATTTACTGGATGACAATGTTTCGAACAAAATTTATTCTTCATAATCATTGCATCAGTTATAATGACACGACTTCGAAACTTGAGTTTTATAATTTTCTTTGTCCTCTCTTTTTTGTCGTCGTTGGGGTAGTACAATTTTCCAGATATCTGGGTGGACAGGTGTTGAATCATTCCTATTACACTTATTCCCTCTCAGTTGATTCGATAAACGAAGATTCTGTTATCAATCTCTCCCTACACCCTGTAACATCAGATTGCAAAACTGTCATCCTATCCCATCCATCATATATTGTATGGTTGTGTGTAATTACATGTAGTGAGTGGTATAGCTGAACTATTCCCAAGATTTCTTATCTTATTTAGGTCAACCAATCTAGATTTTACTGCTAGGTTTTTATGTTCGGCTAGTCTGACTCACTGCCCCTGTTCTACTACTCTGACCTATGTTTTTGACCTGACAATCATTCCAGCAGGCAGGGTATTAGATAAACTGAATTGTTTTGTTTTAAAGGCTCCACTGTCTGGATTGATCCGTTAACCGACAAAGCTTGTTTCTAATTGAGTTTGTGGTTGGTTTGAATGCCAGCCACTTTTATTCCTGCCAGAATTGTTAAGAATTCTGCGTAAGGCTCCCGAGGTTCCTTCTTTAATACTGTTTCACTGTGTGATATATATGTAATAAACAAACTAATATGGAATTATAAGAAAAATGGCGCAAACAACGAAGAAAATTTTCTTTTCGACGATTCATGGAATGACTTACTACCACAGTGACCAAGTTTTACACATATATTACCATGAGTACAACAGAGGTAATCGGAAACCATCTGAACAAGCCAAATCTGTGTATTCAGAAGAAACGTGTACAGCCCCTTGCTTTTCCATAGCCAACTACATAATATGTATTGAGTTTTAAAAAACTGTTTTTCCCTCCCCTTGTAACTATCTTTTGACTTTGTTAATTTTTAGAATTGTTGCAGTTTTAGCTAATTCTATTAACTTGGTTGTATTTTGCGTATTTTCTTCTGAGTCATTCTATATTCTTCTGAGTCATCATTGCTGTTTTGCAAACTTCTCGATTCTGAGTAATAACTTGTTGCTAACACCTAAGAATCAATATATCTTGAATTCCATAACTAATTAATTTTCACCCCTCTTTTAAAACTAAGCTATCTTGTTACTAACATCTACTAGTTATTTGTTTTTAATCACCTTTAACCTCTTCAGTTCACCTACGTCTATACCTAAAACTGACTAAATAAAATAATCACTTGATTGGCAAAACATTTTAATGTAAAAAAAACTATATTTAATAGTGTAAAGCTGATGAAGAGTAACTAATTGAAAAGGACTACATTTTTCTTCACTCAGTCTGTTGTTTTTCTAATCTTCATTTATTAACAGATTTCAGGAGTGTTTTAATAGTGTGTTATGCAATAAGTGTGGGCAGTTATTTAAATAAACGTGTGTAAATTTACTAATGTGAAGTTGTGGATAAGATTTTAGTTTGTGAAATCACACACAGTGTGTCTGTTATACAGTAATATTAACTGATCTGACCACAAGTTTTGAGCACAAACTATTGCCACTCATAATCACATCAAATTGATATGAAGATGAAGAAAGAAAGAACACACATGAGAGATAATACAAGCTCGTTTTATTTCCTTGATACCTTTCACCTGTGTGCATCCTACAACAAAAAATCATTTTAAGTTACAAAATTTCCCAACATACTTTCCCATAGTGACCACGAATTGTAGACAGAAAGTATAGGTAACATATTTCAAATAATGATGTAAGTTGACGGATTATTCAGTGGTAAAAGACTAACTACTGATATAATTAGACAAGTAGAAACAAGAATGGACTAGAGACAAAATACAAGATCGAATGACGCAGTTTATTTGTACAAATTGTCATGGAGAGTTCAAGTGGGCGGGAGTGAATAGTAAAGTAAAACTGTAAGATAGACAAAATAATTTCACAGACTTAGAAACTTAGCACTGTTTACAACTGAATAAATTCAAGTCGAAATCTAAATTAAGTGAAATATTACACAACAGTACAAACCACAAAAGAACACGAAGAAGACGATCACAGTCACTAGGATAGTGACATATTAGTCATTGTGTTTTTCTTTATACTGAGGTTTGCTCGAAGTCTTTTAATGGCAATGGCTTCTGTGAACCGAAGTAACCATGTTTTTTCCTTTCAGTGTTAATTATTTTAAAAGCCTGACCCATTTCCACTGTACGTCCGGTGTCAATTAGGTGCATGGCAGCTGCATTCGACAACACTTTGCAGCTTTTCAAACGGAGACTTTTAGGGATGTTCTTGGAAAATCTAGTCGACTCTTTCCTCAGTTAATATAACTTTACAACACTGTGTGATTTATCAAAATATAATCTCATCCATAATGGAGTTATACTCTACCACAGTGCTCAGGTTTTTTACTTATATCAATAATGTGAGGTTGATAAGTCAAATTCACAATTTTCAAATTGCCAGTTTTCAAGGTGAAATTTCACCAGAGTTTCTCTTGAAAATTAAAGTAATTCAGACCACATTCTATGCTATCTGCTTGGTTCTACAAATGACAGTCAAGAAAGCGAGCATAAATTCATCATGGTGCATACATACTACTGACCGACTGACTGAGATGAGTAGTTGTTTATCACTTACATCAGTGTGTAGTAGTGTTTGCCACCCAAACCATCGAAGTGATGTGAACACCGGAAGTTGGTTTCTTTCGTTTGCAGCTGAGCTCAACAACGCTGCGTACCCGATATCATTGAGCTCAGAAAGTTGAGTCGGTTCCTGAAACGACAGTCTATCTGCACAGTCCCACCTTGGAAGAACAAAGTTGAAGCATGGAGTCGACGAAACAACTTCCTACTGTCGATATGTTGATGACACACATTTATAGTGTGCAACAATGAAAGTCATGCTTCACACTTTCTCAGATTATTCAATGATGCACACACCAATATTAAGTTTACTATGGCACATGAAAGTGACGGAAAGTTTCACTTCCTCGACATTGCCATGGAACGCCTAGAAGACGGTAGTTTTAGGAAGTCACTTAATCGAAAGCCTACTTGGAAAGGACAATACTTACATTTTAATAGCTTTTGTCCAAATAGCTTCAAACGGGGACTAGTCAATACTCTGTACTATAGAGCGAGGACAATATGCTCTATAGAGAAATTAAATGAAGAATTTGAGTTTCTTGAAAAGATGTTGATGAGCAATGGGTACCCTCAAAGGTTCATCAACAAGTATGGAAGATCTGAAGTCACAAATTTAAAACAAATCACAGTTGGTAAAAAGCCAAACCCCTTTCAGCTTGAAAACATTGCAGCAATGATCAACAGAAGGCTGAATACATCACTAGTCATAGCCTATCCTGCAGCTAAGCTCGTTCCCGTCTATCAAACAACTTGCTCTTTTGTGCAATCAAAAATCGATAGATATTCCTCTCATGTTAACTCCAATTGTATATACAAATTTACGTGTATCTGCGGGAGCAGATAACAAAAGCTTAGTATTTTCATGGCGACATGAAAATACTAATGGGAGACATGAACGCCAAACTGGGACCAGACAATACGGGAAGGGAACTCATCATGGGTAGAGAAGCTCTAGGAGAAATGAATGAAAACGGAGAACTCTTCGCCGACTTCTGCGCCTTCAACGAACTGGTGATTGGTGGCAGTGTATACAAGCACAAAGATATCCACAAGGCTACATGGGTGTCACCAGACGGGCAAACCAAAAACCAAATCGACTTCATCTCAATCTCAAGGAAGTGGAGGCGCAGCCTACTGGACACAAAAGCAAGAAGAGGAGCAGACGTTGGCTCAGACCACTATCTCGTACAAGGGACAATCCAAATCAAATTAAAAGCTTTCAAAGAAGGAGGAGCTGCAGATAGACCACAAGCCAAGTTCAACACTCAAAAGCTGAAGGACCAGGCTACAAAGGACATCTTCATTGCAAGCATAAAGGACAAAGCCGAGACACAAATCAACACTAGCGAAGAGGTCGGCGTTGAAAAGCACTGGAACAACTTGAAAACGGTGTGGAGCCAAACCTGCATAGAAATTCTAGGCAGAAAAAAGAGACAGGACAAACAGTGGCTCACTACGGACACTTGGAAACTAATAGAAGAGAGAAGGACAGTGAAGCAAAAGATTATCCAGTGCACCGACGAGCAACAAAAACAGGAGCTGAATGCAAGCTACAATACACTGAACAAAAGAGTGAAGAAAAGTGCCAGGGAAGACAAAAGAAAATATTATGAAACCATGGCAAACGAAGCAGAACAAGCTGCAGGCAAAGGAGACCTCGCCACACTCTACCAAACAACTAGGAACCTTTCGGGCAAACGTTCGACACAGATTAAGCCAATAAAGGACGACAATGGAAAGTCAATCACCAAAGAGGTGGAACAGAGAAAGCACTGGGTTGAACACTTCAAAAGACTTCTAAATCGTCCGCCACCTACAACACGTCCAGCAATACCAACAACGGAAGCAGAACTACCAGTGAACACTGACCCCCCGACGAAATCAGAAGTCCTGAATGCAATCAAGATGCTTAAAACTGGGAAAACACCGGGACCAGATGGAATCCCAGCAGAGGCTTTGAAAATAGACCCAGAGACAACAGCGGACTTGATGACACCACTACTGGAGAAGGTGTGGAAAGAGGGCAAAGTACCCGAGGATTGGAAGAACAGTTACTTATTCAAACT